TCCCCCCCCCCCGCCCCACCCCCGGCTTCTCGCTTCTTCCCGAGTCACTGGGACTGGCCCCACCTGAGAGGGCCAGACCCTCGGCCGGGCTGGGCAGGTGTGAGCCCTGTGGCGCAGGAGGGGGTCAGACTCCCAGCAGGTAAAGCCTGGAGGCCTGGCGTCCACCTGGAGCGGCTCAGCGATGGCCAACAGGGCTCAGGGCTGGGACTCAGGGCCTGACCCGTCCCAGGACCTGGGGAGCCCAGTTTTCCCCCACTGCCCACTGCACCCCACCCCGCCTCACCCCTGTGAGACCCCCAGCTGGGGGCTGAATTCCCATCTGTCCAGCTGAGCCAGTGGGCAGCTAAAAACAAAGGCCAAACGCCGGGCCAGCCTGGGAGAGGCTGGTGGTCAAGGGGCCAGGGTCACCAGGGCGCAGAGCAGCTCAGCTGAGGCAGAGTGTGGGCAGGGCTTGGCGGGCTCCCCACCCAGGGGCTCGAGGCCCACCTTCCCGGCCTCCCAGCTGAGGTCTGCCCACCTGCTAATATGCTAAGTGTCCGACCGTCCAGGTAATGACGTCACATAGCAACGCCCGGCTTCCTCTCCCTAGCAACTAGCCTCCTTGCAGTTTCTTCAGCCCAGGAACACGACTTGCTTTATAGTCAGGTGCATCGAAACACACATCAAGAATGGGGCCACCTTGACTTGAGGTTCCATGGAAGAGCGAGATGGTGGGGGCTCAGGCGGGAAAGCCTGCAGGGATGGTCCTCACTGTGGGTGGAACCCTGGGGGCCCCTGGCTTCCTGTGGGGAGGATGTCTGGTTAGACACACACCCTCACTTAGGGGGACCCCCAGCTTCCACTCATGTCCCAGCCCCTCAGAACAAGGGTGCACCTCTCACCTGTGGGACAGTAGCTTTTGTGCTCATTCTCTCTCTCGAGGCCAATGGTTTCAGCCTGATTGGTCCTCGCCATTCCTGGTCTCGACGTGGCGTCTGCGTTGTCCTGGTGAGCAGGTTGGCCCACCACGGCTGCAGAGGGCCGGCCCAGTGTGGGCACCTCCTCCCCGGAGCACTGTGTCCCTTCGGCTCGCCTGTCTCCACGGGGAACCCATCGCCCGCTGGCCACCCAGGAATCCTGGGACCCCCCCCCCCCCCCCCCCCCCCCCCCCCCCCCACCCACACACACCCACACACACACAACAAAAAACAAACAAAAAACATTTCCTGATTTGCTCCTATATTTTCTTACTCCTATCTCCCATCACTAGTCCTATATACTATGTTAGGGATTGGAAGAGGAGAGAAGGGGAGAAATTAATGTTTGAAATAATACTGTGTGAGGATTTCCCAGAACGGTCGAAAGACATCGAAATGCACATCAAGAATGGGGCCACCTTGACTTGAGGTTCCATGGAAGAGCGAGATGGTGGGGGCTCAGGCGGGAAAGCCTGCGGGGATGGTCCTCACTGTGGGTGGAACCCTGGGGGCCCCTGGCTTCCTGTGGGGAGGATGTCTGGTGAGACACACACCCTCACTTAGAGGGACCCCCAGCTTCCACTCATGTCCCAGCCCCTCAGAACAAGGGTGCACCTCTCACCTGTGGGACAGTAGCTTTTGTGCTCATTCGCTCTCGAGGCCATGTCTTCCCTTTGGTTTCAGCCTGATTGGTCCTCACCATTCCTTGTCTCGACGTGGCGTCTGCGTTGTCTTGGTGAGCAGGTTGGCCCACCACGGCTGCAGAGGGCCGGCCCAGTGTGGGCACCTCCTCCGGAGCACTCTCTCTCCCTTCGGCTCGCCTGTCTCCACGGGGAACCCATCGCCCGCTGGCCACCCAGGAATCCTGGGCCCCCCCCCCCCACCCCCAGCACAGCAGACCCTGACTGCACTCCGTTCCCACCATCAGCAGGAGTCACCAGGTGGTGCCCTGTCCAGGATGTCTGCTTGGGAACTCCCAGACAAAGGCCACAGGGGGTCTGAGCTGAGACCGCTGGACACCAGGGAGGAATGTTCTGGGTCTTCCCCAACCTCTAGATGTCGGGGTCCCCAGGGGCCTGTCTACACCCGCCTCCTCCAGCCCAGGATGGACCCAGGGTGCCTTGGGCTCTGGTGGACACAGTGAACAGCTGCAGACGGGCCAGGCCCAGGAGGCCTGAGGGCGCCCCCTGGATCTGGCCCCCCGGAGGCAGCTGGAGACATCAGCCGGTAGCTGTGTGTGTAGAGGGGGGTTTGGGGGGGGCGGTCTGGTGAGCTCTCAGGAAGAAAGAAATGGACAGTCTGAGGGTCAGGAGCCCAGACGCCTCGCAGACGACCTTGTCCAAGAATGACGTGTGCAGGTTTCAGGCTCAGTGTTTTCTGGGTTCAGGTACCAGGTGTGGCCCCCAGGGAGACAGCCCAGGGAGAAACAGGTGCTTCGGGTCTTAGGGAGAAGGGGTCAAGGCCAAGGCCAACGCGAAGGTCAAGGTCAAGACCAGCTGCAGGCGCATGTGAGGGGCTCGGGTATCGCTGATGGGACACTGTGGCCTGAAAGTGTGGTCCAGGCAGGAGAGTGGGGAAGGGGGGCCGGCATTTGTCCAGGAGGCCTGGGAGGGGCCCCCAGTGCTGGTCTAATCTTAAGCCTGCCTAGCCCTGGCCAGTATGGCTCAGTGGATAGACCCCCAGCACAGCAGACCCTGACTGCACTCCGGTCCCACCATGAGCAGGAGTACCAGGTGATGCCCTGCCCAGGGTGTCTGCTTGGAAATTCCCAGACAAAGGCCACAGGGGGTCTGAGCTGAGACCGCTGGACACCAGGGAGGAATGTTCTGGGTCTTCCCCAGCCTCTAGATGTCGGGGTCCCCAGGGGCCTGTCTACACCCGCCCCCTCCAGCCCAGGATGGACCCAGGGTGCCTTGGGCTCTGGTGGACACAGTGAACAGCTGCAGACAGGCCAGGCCCAGGAGGCCTGAGGGTGCCCCCTGGATCCGGCCCCCTGGAGGCAGCTGGAGACATCAGCGGGTAGCTGTGTGTGTAGAGGGGAGTTTGGGGGGAGTCTGGTGAGCTCTCAGGAAGAAAGAAATGGACAGTCTGTCCAAGAATGACGTGTGCAGGTTTCAGGCTCAGTGTTTTCTGGGTTCAGGTACCAGGTGTGGCCCCCAGGGAGACAGCCCAGGGAGAAACAGGTGCTTCGGGTCTTAGGGAGAAGGGGTCAAGGCCAAGGCCAACGCGAAGGTCAAGGTCAAGACCAGCTGCAGGCGCATGTGAGGGGCTCGGGTATCGCTGATGGGACACTGTGGCCTGAAAGTGTGGTCCAGGCAGGAGAGTGGGGAAGGGGGGCCGGCATTTGTCCAGGAGGCCTGGGAGGGGCCCCCAGTGCTGGTCTAATCTTAAGCCTGCCTAGCCCTGGCCAGTATGGCTCAGTGGATAGAGCGTCAGCCCGTGGACTGAGGGTCCCGGGTTCGATTCATATCCTCAGTTGCAGGCTTGATCCCCGGCCCTCGTCCAGGTACATGCAGGAGGCAACCAATCGGTGTGTCTCTCTCTGTCTCTCCCTCTCCCTTCCACTCTCTCTAAAAATGAATGGAAAAATGTCCTCGGGTGAGAATTAACAAAACAAACAAACAAAACACACACAAGAATCTTACCCCTGTCTATGGGCCCATCCAAGGCCTCATGGGATGGCCAGGCCTCCAGGCCACTCGGAGGGCATGGGGTGGGAATGTGGGTGAGAACCCTCCTGCCCTGAGCCTGGAGCAGCCAGCAGTCCCTGGGCCCTCGGGTCAGTTTGGGGGAGCGGCCCTCGTCCAGGTACATGCAGGAGGCAACCAATCGGGTATGTCTCTCTCTGTCTCTCCCTCTCCCTTCCACTCTCTCTAAAAATGAATGGAAAAATGTCCTCGGGTGAGGATTAACAAAACAAACAAACAAAACACACACACAATCTTACCCCGGCCCATCCAAGGCCTCATGGGATGGCCAGGCCTCCAGGCCACTCGGAGGGCATGGGGTGGGAATGTGGGTGAGAACCCTCCTGCCCTGAGCCTGGAGCAGCCAGCAGTCCCTGGGCCCTCGGGTCAGTTTGGGGGAGCAGGGCCGGAAGGGGCGGGAAGGTAGATCACAAGGTGGTTGCCGCCAGCCTTTCATTACAGCAGGGCCCCCTCCTGCGCAGGTCGCTCACCTGTCAGCACCTGGCCCCGTGGATCAAGGGCAGGAAGGGAGGCTGCCAGCCCCACCCCCACTCCCAGCGCCCGGGCCCTGCACAGCCTCCCTGCAGGTGGGCAGAGGTCTCCTCCGCATTCTGCGACTCGGAGGGGACGTGGTGGCAGGGGCCCAGACAGACACCCCAGGGAGGCCCCAAGCAGGCAGAGCTGGTGCCCCATGGGGACGCCCCTGTCCAGAGTGGAACCTCCAAGTCTGAACCCCAAACGCTAGGGTCTGGCTCGGCTGGGCCTGTGACCAGATCTGCCTCCTGTTTTGCTGAGTGCAGCCTGTGTTCTAGGAAGTGTTGATTGGCCGGCGGCAAACTTAGTGGGACCGGGAGTCACAGGCCCCTTCCTGACCCGGGTCCACAGCCCGACTCAGAGGGTGAGTGACAGCGTCTGCCACCCCTGTGGAGAGCTGCCCCCAGGGACAGCTGCCCCGTGAGTCCGCATGGGGCTGGCGGTGGCCCCAGCGTCCACCCACACCTGCCCCAGGTGTTTGCTCTGCTGAGGCCAGCAGGTGAGTCAGAGGAGCCCGGGGCCACAGGAAGACACAGACTAGAAGCAGAGAAACCGGACGGCAGGCGTCTCTGAGCCCGGTCCCCCCAGAGTGAGGCTGGTTGGAGGGCTAGGAGAGGACCCAGCCCTGAGCCCCAGCCCCAAAGGCTCCAGGTGAGGATTAACAAAACAAACTGTCCTAGCAGAAGGCGAATGCCCCATCGGCCTGGCCTCCGGGCTAGGGCTGGGCCCGGAGGGTGTGGGCCCTGTGGCGGTCGGTGGCTGGCCGCCATGCAGGAAGCAGCCTCAGCCGCAGCACAATGGCCCTTTGTCCCGCCCGCCCCGCCCAGGGAGGCTCAGCCCGGCCAGCTCTCCCACCAGCCACTGTGTCCCCAAGTGTGGAGCTGGCTTCTGTCACCCTCCTCCTCCTCTCCCCACCACCCCCCAGCCTATTCTGCCTGCTGCACCCCCTCCTGCTCTCATGGGAACACCCACATCCACCAGGTCGCCAGCCAGAACCTTTGTCTGGCACTGGTTTCTCCCGCAAACTGGCACCCGGTCCAGCTGCCACCCACCAGGCAGGATGACGTGGGCCTGGCGTGCTGTGGGGTGGCCCATGCTGACCATTCAGGACGTGGGTGCTCATCATGGCTCTGCTCCACCGCCCTGTCCGCACAGCCTTGAGGGGAGGGAGAGCTGCCCCCCAGACCTGTGCCGGCAGGGGTCCAGGCCACCCTCCGTGCCTGCTGCTGGTGACAGCCCTGGGCCTCATGGTCAGGAGTGACCGCACCTAGGCAGGGCCTGGGAGCTGGCCCTCAGCCGAGCGCAGGCACCCGAGGGTGCAGGGCCAGCTGGGCTGCCTGTGGGGACCAGGGGCAAAGGGAATGGTCTCAACCGGCCACTGGTTGAAGCCAAGTGATGAGTCCTGCCCGCAGCCCGGCCCCTCCTCGACCATCTCACCCACAAGGGGCAAACATCAGGCTCCACAGGCGACTTTGGGTCATTTTTACTTTACTTGGACTCAGACAAAACAGGGCAAGGACTGTGCAGGGGTCACTGCAAGGTCAGGGAGCAGGTGACCAGCCAGACCAGAATCTTCCTCTTCAAAGTGACCAGCCAGGGCATTCACACCCAGACCACCCAGCCATGCAGGGCAGAGCCTCAAACACTCCCACAGTATCTCAACCCCTCACCTGCAGCACCTCCACCCCACCCACAGCACCTTGACCTCCACCTGCAGCACCTTGACCTCCACCTGCAGCACCTCCCCCTCCACCTGCAGCACCTCCCCCCCACCCACAGCACCTTGACCTCCACCTGCAGCACCTTGACCTCCACCTGCAGCACCTCCCCCTCCACCTGCAGCACCTCCCCCCCACCCACAGCACCTTGACCTCCACCTGCAGCACCTTGACCTCCACCTGCAGCACCTCCCCCTCCACCTGCAGCACCTCCCCCCCACCCACAGCACCTTGACCTCCACCTGCAGCACCTTGACCTCCACCTGCAGCACCTCCCCCTCCACCTGCAGCACCTCCCCCCCACCCACAGCACCTTGACCTCCACCTGCAGCACCTTGACCTCCACCTGCAGCACCTCCCCCTCCACCTGCAGCACCTCCCCCCCACCCACAGCACCTTGACCTCCACCTGCAGCACCTTGACCTCCACCTGCAGCACCTCCCCCTCCACCTGCAGCACCTCCCCCCCACCCACAGCACCTTGACCTCCACCTGCAGCACCTTGACCTCCACCTGCAGCACCTCCCCCTCCACCTGCAGCACCTCCCCCCCACCCACAGCACCTTGACCTCCACCTGCAGCACCTTGACCTCCACCTGCAGCACCTCCCCCTCCACCTGCAGCACCTCCCCCCCACCCACAGCACCTTGACCTCCACCTGCAGCACCTTGACCTCCACCTGCAGCACCTCCCCCTCCACCTGCAGCACCTCCCCCCCACCCACAGCACCTTGACCTCCACCTGCAGCACCTTGACCTCCACCTGCAGCACCTCCCCCTCCACCTGCAGCACCTCCCCCCCACCCACAGCACCTTGACCTCCACCTGCAGCACCTTGACCTCCACCTGCAGCACCTCCCCCTCCACCTGCAGCACCTCCCCCCCACCCACAGCACCTTGACCTCCACCTGCAGCACCTTGACCTCCACCTGCAGCACCTCCCCCTCCACCTGCAGCACCTCCCCCCCACCCACAGCACCTTGACCTCCACCTGCAGCACCTTGACCTCCACCTGCAGCACCTCCCCCTCCACCTGCAGCACCTCCCCCCCACCCACAGCACCTTGACCTCCACCTGCAGCACCTTGACCTCCACCTGCAGCACCTCCCCCTCCACCTGCAGCACCTCCCCCCCACCCACAGCACCTTGACCTCCACCTGCAGCACCTTGACCTCCACCTGCAGCACCTCCCCCTCCACCTGCAGCACCTCCCCCCCACCCACAGCACCTTGACCTCCACCTGCAGCACCTTGACCTCCACCTGCAGCACCTCCCCCTCCACCTGCAGCACCTCCCCCCCACCCACAGCACCTTGACCTCCACCTGCAGCACCTTGACCTCCACCTGCAGCACCTCAGCCTCCACCTGCAGCACCTCAACCTCCACCTACAGCAGCTCAGCCTCCACCTGCAGCCCCTCATCCTCCACCTGCAGCACCTCAGCCTCCACCTGCAGCAGCTCAACCTCCACCAGCAGCTCAGGTTGAGGGGCTGGCCTCCACTCAGCCGAAGCTCAGGTGCTTCCTGGCCTTCTCGTGCCTGGGCTAAGAACATGCCTCCAAGACCCAGCTTTGGCCAGCGTGGTCGCCTCGTATGGGACAGCGAGTTTGAGAGAAAGGCCCAGAGTGGGCGAGGAGCATGTGGTGGGTCTCCCGCGCCCCAGGGCCCATCAGAGCACCATCCTGCCTCCTGGCAGCTCCCAGTGCGGCCGCTTCATTAAACCGGCAGAGCACGGCCTGGCCTTCATCTCTGAGTCAGACAGACGGACTGGGACCAGCGCTCTGGTCTGCGGTGGGGCCTAGAACTGGCGGGGTGTCCTGACCAGGCTGGCAAGAGGACCAGGGTAGTCAGACCCAGCCAGGCACTGCCGTGGTAACGAGAGAGTCGCAGGAACCCCGCCTGGCCCCACAGGCCGCGGGGACGGACTGCGGCTCTTCCTCCTTGTGGGTCAGGGTGAAGGGCCACCGCTGTCCACATGACCGTCCCCCCGTCAGTCCCCCACGTCCCAGCACTCAGGGGCTCTGTGGACACTGGATGGAGCTCCCTCTGGCCGCCCCTGGGAGCTTCTGAACCGGCAAGGCCTTGCCCATCAGCCCCGACCCCACCCACCTGGCTGAGCCAGGAAGTCCTGACCAGCCACACCCGGTGCTTGGTCACCGAGTGAACAAGATGGGGGCAGAGGTCAGGGCAGGAGCCTGAGAAGGGTCAGTGGCCAGGAGCCCTCCTCCCGCTCCCATCCAACTGCAATGCCTCCAGGTTGGGGTTAGTGAGCAATGCCTCAGTTTCCCCAAAGCACGGTGCCCATCAGCCAGGGGTGTCCCAGCCTCACCCCCACGCAAACACAGACACCCAGAGAGGGTATCGGGTGGGTGGGTGTCTTGACAAAGGTGTATGTGCCCTCCACAGCGCTAGGGTCTGGAGGTCAGAGGGCTGGAGGGTCAGAGGTCACTGATGCCTCCAGAAGCTCTTCCCTGGGGCCAGGGGCACCGCCCGGCTCCTGGGCGCCCTGCCCTCTCTGGCCGGGAGGAGCTGCCGGGCTGTGGCACTCCCGTCCCAGCACAGCCTCTGGGCCTGAGGCCAGGCTGAGCTCAGCGGGGAGTGGACCAGCCTGGGGACGTCTGGGGGGCAGTGGACTCAGGGCCCTGCTCTGAGGGTGCAGAGGGAGGTTTCGTGTCCCCCAGGGGCCCCGAGATCCAGGCCCATGGGAGCTGTGGAGGGGCTGTGCCTTCCTCTGGGTCCCCTGGAGTAGGTACAGTCGGGGGCAGCCCCCCAAGCTGTGTGGCCCTCAGGAGCCTGTGTGCCGGTGACTCCCCACTCCGGCCAGGGCTGTCCCTGGACAGAGAGACAAGGCCCCACGAAGCCCTGATCGGGGGTGAGCAAACCAGAGAGCCAGCAGGCGGGGGACAGGCCTCATCAAAGCGGCCGGGGGGAGGGGGTTCGTTACAGAAAGTGGCCGCCTGGGGGATTGCTCTGTGCTGCGGCTAATTACTGGCTGCTTGTTGTTTCAATACCCGAGTCAGGAGGCTCCCTCCCCACCTGGACGGGGCCTCGCCTCCCCATCCTGCAGCCACAGACTCCCAGCCCTCTTCCTGGGGTCCTAAATGGGGGTGTTTCCCGGCCGGCCACAGCCTCAGCCACAGGCTGGGCCCCCAGCCTGGAGACCTGTGCGCGACACCCCCTAGAAGGGGGACAGCTCTGCACTTGGCTCCTGGGGAGCTGAGGGCCTTGGCGGCTGCCCTGGGAGAGAGAGGGTGCAGGCTGTGACCCCTCTCTGCCCCCTTCCTTGTCCAGCGGGGCTGTGCTCAGGCCTGGCCAGGAGCGCCCTGCCTCCCCCCTCGCACGCCCCACTGCAGCGCCTGCAGCAGCTCCCTGCCCTGGTTTTTTTTTAACCT